TTAATATTTTGACATCAAAATCTGGAGAGAAACTACTTTATAAACTACTTTATGCTTTGTTCCTGTGCATTACTGGTCCATGCTGGAAAAGCACAATCTTCATTGTGATAAGCACTGAAAAGGGAAACCTCTTGAGTAAAGGCCCAAACAGTCAACTCATCACTGATGACCTGGTTTTGCAATTAAATTAATCCAGTTCAGTGATGTGCCTTTAGAGTGTTTGATATGTTCTTAATATTCATTTTCAGGACATTAAAACTGAAGTACACCAAACAAAGCAAAAAGTTTTTGCCACTATTTAACTTCTTTTTCCAAAACTAATTATCCAGACAGATCTATAATCAATGTTAACTTCTGTGGACTGATTTCACTATTCAGTTTACTCTGGACTTTTTTCTCTTTGAAGAGATGTAAATCTACTTCTTATAATTGTTTCTTATGTTGACAACACTGAACAATCCTTTAACTAAAACACAAGCATATGTAGCAAGTCATCTAAAGCATAGATAATTTTACTCATTTTTGCAAGAGAATGCTCAGTGTTGGAGGATGCACTGTCTAATTGCAATGATAAGACATTATCACTTTAATTGGACAATTATAAAGGGTGCTTTAGAGTTAAATGCATAACTAATCTACTAGATTACTCACATTAGATTACAGTTCCTAAAACATTAAGTGAGTCAAGTTGTAGTCACTTCCTTCTGTTCTGAACTACCTTTAAACTGCACTAACAATGTGCACAAATCTCTTCCTAGTTCATCTACCAAAACTCATAGTGGACTAGGCTCCAATCACTTTTCCTCCAATGGAAGGTGCTTTAAAATATTTAAAAATACATACTACTTTTCTTTCCAGAACAGAATGTTCATTCTATCATCAAATAAATGAAAACAAAATTCAATAGTGAAAAGCATTTGAGTTATAACTAAATTTGCAACTCTCATCAAGAGATTTTCAGATGAAGAAACAACAATGTATAGGAATTATTCATTCTACACATCAGATAGAAGTACACAGACATCCACCCAACAGGCTGGATGGATCCACCCAACAGCTCTTAGGCTTCATTTCAATCATCCCTCATACTAAATACCCATTTTACTAAGGCATTTGTATGCTCACAGACACACTGTTTGAAGACTGACAACATTCAGTATTTACTATCTATTTTTTTAAACTTCATTAAGCAAACACAAAAGCTTCAGGAAAAAAAACTTAAGCTAATGCAGAAGACGTGTACCAATACAGAACTGAGCATTTCACTACACTCTGGAAAAAAGTGTTCTTTACTGGATTTCATTAAGAAGAAAAACAATTGCATGGTCAAATAGATAATTTTCACAGTAATTCAATGCATGTGTTCATATTATTTTGCTTAAGAGAAAGATCTCCATGTATACTAAAATAAGATTTTAAAAGGATTTTAAAAAATGAAGTAGCACTTTAGCAATACACATCAAAATTAAGACCACACCTGATGACTAGGTTAAACTGACATTGACCAAATCAAACCAAGTCCAGCATAGAAGTTGAGCTATTAATGAGTTAAAAAGATATAAGCTACAAGTCCACCAGGTAAAGATAACACACAAATACGATGGAAGAAGACCCCAAAGCAACAACTTAAGAGTTCTGGGGTTTTTAAAGATAAATACATTACAAGACTTGAGAAAACAAAAAAAAAACAAAAAAACAAAAAACAAAAACGCCCCACTGAAATGATTCACTTGTGCAATGAACAAAATAGTGCTGTAAAAGTTGAAATTTCTACCAATTCTGTGTCCCCAATAATAACTTTTATTAGTGTCACATGCAAATGTACTTTGAGACCCAGTTAGACAAACACTAGACTGAGATGCATGAAAACATCAGGACTTTTGTCCTGATGTATTTTCTACCCCAATTTTGTTAATTCAATTGAGGTTTAAAAATCATATGCACTAGCCTTAAATTCATCACAGGGTTAAGGATGCAAATGCCATAAAAAGCAATACTGAATCTCTTTCAATCTCTTAATCTCTTACCTAATCCCATTATTTGGTTAGGCTAGTAAAACTGTAGGTTTTCATGAGCTTTTAAATAAAGTTTGTATCAAAAGTAATTTCATACTTAAATACCTTGTGATACTGACCTACCCTATGTGAAAATTCCTTTTTATTGAACTACTCTATTCCAGTCAGGTTATTTCTTCTTTTTGCATGTAAGTAAGAGCACATTGCTTCATTTTAAAGAAAAACAAAGGCAACATCACTGTTGATTCAGTTGTAAAAGACAAATTTCAGGTTTCAGCAAAGCAATACCATAAAATACTTAAAAGCTCTTAAAGCTGCACTGCTTTAACTGGGATGTTTAATTCTCGCATGTTATTTTCACAAGACACTAAAACAGAGAGAGCACTTGACAATGCACTCTTCACACATGCTTCAGTAGCTGCATGGCAGAAATCAGCAGGTTTTTGTTTTCCTACAAGTCACAGGCATTTGCTTCCCTTCACTCAAACAGTGCTTCAGGAAAAGCAGCTCCCCATCTCTCCACTGCAGAACCGTCAATCTGCTGCAATTATTGTAGTCCTGTTTGACTCATTAGGTGCCCAGGTACATGAAAATCTTTAACAGTCATCAGATTATAGCAGAGATAATGAAAATACTGAATCATGATGTTTTCTAGCAAGCATCACTAACTACCAAACTATCCAAACATCATAAATACATAGTGAAGTATTTCTCTCTACTAAGAACTCTAAATATAATACACATCTCTACTATGATAACTTTTATCCCTTTTTAATAACCTAAATAAAACTTGTGTCAGGTAATCAGTCCAAAGAGAAGGTTACTAGAATAAACTCCACTTGCTTAAGTATGCATTTCTAATGGCAAAAGTCTTGCAAGAAGCAGGTGGACCGTGATGAACATGTGAAGAAAGGGAAAGAAATTAAAGTACACTGCTTTGACTAAATTGCAAATGCTACACCTTTATCTGACTTACACAGTTGTAATTTTATTCAGAAATGTTACCCTAGTGAGCATGAAAGCACTATACAGGCAAATTCTACCTGCTGTAAGTACATTGGTTCAGAAATGTAAGTTAAGTATCTATTGTAATGAATTTCAAGGGCTCTAGTAGTAGCTCAATTATCTACAAAAAATACAATATGAAATGTCAACTTCTATGTGTAAATAGGTCACTTTAATCATGTTTAAATTCAGTAGTTAAATTACAATAGCACAGATGAAAACTTAAGTCAAATGCAGACAATTTCTTAGATTTCAAAAGCAAACAACACAATTGCAATTACTTTTCTTGTTAAAAGAAACATGCCAACTGTTGAGATTTTTTACAGGGAAGACAAATAGAAAATATGAAAGAGAATAAAAGAAAAAATATATTTAAATGAATACATTTATAAGGTATATACTGAAAACAGAACGGATTAGAGTCAGAAGAACCAACACTAAATTTCTAAGGAGCAAGATGGCTTTATTTAATGACAGGAGAAAAAAGAATAAAATTCAGAGTGTGGATAAAGCAAACAGTCCTCCCCTTTCCTTGCACTGCTTGTAAATGATGTGCCAAAGGTGAGCACAGATGAGATGTGCTTCTTAAAAAACCTGGTTTGAGACAAAGGTTCTGATTCATTCTAACATTGCTAACACAGTGAAGGTTTAGGCTTCATTCAGCTTTGGATCAGAGGCTGGGGTACTGCTAATTTCGCACCCCTCAGTGCAGTAGTACCAGTACCTGACTTTGTCCCTTGTGCCTAGCACAGCTCTGCTCACAGCTCTACCAGGCGCCACTCCCCCCAGCCACACCTTGCACTATCATTCTTTCCTGATGAAAATTGCATCTCTCTGCACTTACTCTCTGGCACTGCTGTGCCAATCTGCTGCTAATCTCTTCTCATTCCAGTTGAGCTTCCTCTTGGTTTCGTGCTGTAACTTAGAAGGAATATACTGACATTACCTCTACTACTTCCCTGCTTCAGAAAGTAAAATTTAATATCTTTTAAAATGGTCCCTCCCAAATCCTACCACACTCCATTTGAAATGCAAATATTCCAGAGGAAACTACCAGCCATCTATTTTTAGAAAATCCTTCTGCTGCTTCTAACAAAGACTTTTAGATCTGCAGTCCCAGATTCCAATACCTGTGAAACCTAATGTGAAAGCCAAAAATCATCCATTTAAAAATTCGCAGAAGTAAAATCCTGCACACTTTTGACTCTCTGGAATCTAAAAAGCCTATTTGGAGCTAGAACTGTACCTTACAAATAATTAACAGCTAACATCAATAGTGAGAGATCGCTGTTAGGTACAATGTACTTACTTAGTAAGAAATAAGCTTTTATCCTAAAAGCTTGCAATTAAGCTTATTAAAAGTGACACAAAGAGATGAGAAAAAGACAAGATAATAATACATTAATTATTATTAGCATAAGGAAGAGTCATAGCATACCATTTGCCTAGTCATTCCAATGAATTAGCACAGTCAAGCTTTTTTTTTAAAAGGCATCTGAAAATGAAAATGTGACTTTTCAGACTTATGCAGGTCTTTCCCTTTTCATGTCAAGGGCAGCAGAAGAAAGCTTTTCAGGGGAAACTAGAACAAAGACGTGTGACAACACTGGCAGGCCTAAAACCAATAAAGTGAAAGCTCAAAACCTAGTAACAGAGAAAACTAGATTTTGTTCTATGATGTAACAGTCTGGAATGCAGGATTTCCATGCTTTTTAAATGTGCTTAGTATTTCAACAAGACTTTGTCATCTTGCTCAATTCTGTCCACACTTACTGGAGAGCCAAATACTCACCTCATCAGTAAGAAACTCCTTACTTAGACCAAAGTCTGTCAGCACCACATGGCCATCAGAATCAAGGAGAATATTCTCAAGTTTTATATCCCGATATATAATCCCCAACTGCAAACAGAATATAAGAAAAAGTATTTCAAAATAGTGTCACCACATCGAGAAGATATTGCTGAATGTTTTTAAAAATAAAGATACTAAAATTCACATTATTAAGGTAATCTGACACATGAAAGTTGCACCTCAAAAAAGACAATTTTTTAAAGCCCTTGAGGAAATAACTAAAATGACATTTAAAATCTTAGAAATTACACTGTGCATTGATGTCTTAAAATTTCAAAGACATACTGTATACCCCTTGAATCTAAAAGTGAACAAATACTTGCTGTTGAGTGCAAAACTCAGTTCTCCTTTGATTAAGAAAATGGATCCTTCTGTTACACAATCTAGACATAGACCACACATACATGCATGCTTTGTAATAGTCTATAAATCTGCTTATTACTTCTGAGAACTGCAACACTTTTCATGTCTACAGCTGTGCTAGAACTCTATTACTCAGTTGTGTAGAAACAAGGAAAACCAAACATTTCAACCCAAAACTTGTTCATGTTCACTACAAATTAGTTTTGGTGACATATATTGGTTCACAAGGATTACTAGAAATGAACAAATCATTTGTCAATAACATTCCTCTTCACCCTGCAGGCAAAAAAATTGTGGCCTTAATCTAGTGCACACGAAGGGACACTTCATTGGGTGTTATTTCTAATTATACAACTAATGTCCCATTGCAAGACAAAGTTACTTTCATTTTAAAACTATTTAACAATAGCTCTCCTTATTAACCTTATATGATACCAAAAGAATACAGCTGTAAGTCCTCAAAATCAGCACCAGAGTAAAGTAATTTTACCTTGTGCAGATGTTCAAGTGCCAAAACGATTTCGCCAATGTAAATTTGCACCTCATTTTCTGAGAATCTCTCTCTGTGTGAAAGATGAGTAAACAATTCTCCTCCATTTATATAGTCTAAAAAATAGAGCACAGAACCTTATAATTTCACTTTCTGACAATTTCATTTCCTTATTGAAATAGTATTAGGTACTTTGTAAGCTATTTAGTAACACATTCTACTATCAGATGCTTTTCCTTAATTGTAATTCACTAGTATTTCATCATGCTGTACAATATTCAATTTCTTTCTTAGAGAACTGAAGGAAGAACAAGTTAAGAACAATAACACTTCTAAATAAGCATCAAAACCATAAAATAAGCCTCAACTATTCCTAAATTATAAAGATGGGTTTTTCCACAAAACCAGTCTTTTAGTTATTTAGGAAAATGAAAAGAAAGCAGCACAAATCATATCTACAAATAGAACCCCTGTAGACTCTTATGAAATACTCTGATGAGCAACAAGGCAGACTGACACAAAGAAAAGCAATTCAGAAAACAGGTATTAGGGGAAATAATCAATTTATCGACAGACAATTACAAAACTTTCCCTTCAGAAGGGAAACCTTGATGGCAAAACTTAGTGCAGGAGATTATTTCCACACACACTCCCTCATGGAAACCACACTTTCATTCTTTGCAGGCTATGACACAAGGATTTTCCCACAGTAAGGGAGAGGGAAAAAAAATTATTACAACAGAGCTCCACTATAACAGAAACATATTTTAGATGTAGAGCTGTTTATGATAGCAGTGTACATTACAGCCAATAATTTTCAATCTCACAGCTCCCATTATTGTACTTGAGGTCTACATACACAGAGCAGGGAACATGCCCCACAGAATCTTCCTCAGTATTTTCTTGAATGTTGCTTCTGTAGATTTGTTGGTATAAAACACAAATCCATAAAAGGTGTCTAATCCTATTTTAAGTTAATAGTCGGAAGGAGAAAGCATATATACAAATTATACATATTCTGATCTCTCTCCGCCTTTCAGTTCTCTCTTTGAAAAGGAGTATTAGTGGAATCAAACAACATGAGAAGGATTATTTATCTAGACCAGCAAGCAAATGAGAAAGACTGAATGAAGTATAAATAACCTACATTTTGGAATTGCTTCCTTCTTCTAAAATAACTTCAACACATAGAAAAAGGTAACAGAAAACAAGTTTTTAAAATGTTTCTAGCCAGATCTGCTAACTTAGTACAAGGGAACCATTGAATTGCCATTAAATTATTCTAAGGACTGTGACAGATCCAAACGAAAGCTGCCACAAGGAGTGGCAGAACAAGCTAAATTCTATCCAGGTTGTACACTAACCACAGCCCAATGAAACAAACAGCCTTCAAATTATTGGTGCAAGATCAAATGCATCACTGGCATAACAGAAAAAAAAATCCTGGTTACTTCAGATAAACTCCACCTGACAGTTCAGATTATTTAGCTATTTTTAAAGGATTAGATGCTTAACCTTGTGTGACAAGTTTTGTATAGAATTGATGGTATTCACATGGATACAACACTTGGTTCGTTTAAAGCCAACATAAAAATTGGAATCAACTCCCAACTCTGTTTCTGGAAATCTGGCAGAAACGCAGCTGCATGTCTGTACTTGATTCAGTCTAAATTCGTATAGCTATGTAATCTGACAGCATGAAGAACTGTACTAAATATTGCACTGAGGCTCCAATTCTAAGACCCCTAAGAACTAAAATGGCAGCTAGCTCGCACACTAAATTCAGCCAAGAACAAAAATAAGACCAATACTGGTTTCCCCCAAAATCCAAAAGTCTCTAAAACACTAATTCCTCGACTAAATTAAAGTGATTTATACAGACTTACATAAGACCCAAAAAACTTGTAACAAACAGTTTGGGTTTTTTCCTGTCAGGGAAGGTGTGAAGCCCAGTTGATTTATAAAGTAGCTTTACACCACATTAAGGAGGAGAAATTTTCCCTGTTATAGAACATCATTAAAAGTATAACTAATCATTCCTACTTTCTGCTGAAAATGAAGGAAAAAAAGACTTTTCTGGCCCAAACAGATATGCTGAGAATGGATGAAAAAGAAAAAAAAATCAAAACAAAAGACTGTAATTATATCTTAGTTATGAACTTCTTGCTTCAACCATCACCTCAACATTGCTATACAGAGGACATGGACACGTGGCCTGTCTGCACTGTCTGCTACACAGCGTTCTTCACAACTACTGGGCTTGCTCCTTTTTGACTCTTATGAGAATATAATATCAAGCTTTTAATTTTCTTTCATACAAGAGGCTTTTATAGCCTTCTAATTATGTTTACCACCTAAACTTCCCCCCTACTATGTATTTATTTTTAGGCAACTACATCTATCTCAGGTTTCAGGGGTTTTTTTTGTTTGGGTTTCCCCTCTTTTTTTTTTTAATATTTCTTATGGGATCTAAGGTGCATTTGAGCAAAAAATACCTGGACTTAAAGAATGGTTCCACAATATCTATAATAAATGTTCACATTTTCTCTCATTTAATCTCAATTTTTTCCAAATTGTTAGTCAATAACCTTAAATCCAATATAAATTTCAAAATCTTAATTTTCAACAGTTACTCTCAAGAAATCACAAAGCTATCAATATATTTCTAACTATTTATTTGTGACAATCTTTTATTTATTTCTTTAATATCCTAGTCAGAGGAATTTACAAGAAACTATAACACAATTTTCAACTCTCATTTTCAGAAGGAGTTCAGTGAACACTCCATTTCAGCTCCACATATTCATTATTTAATGGTAGTATATGAAACTAAGGTATGTGCATAGACCTTTCTAAGAATTGACAGCTAGAGGTGTATATTCATTTCATGTTAAAAAATTTTTTGCTAATTTGATGTTAATCAGACTGTTAATAAAGGTTAAAAAAATGAAGTTGTGGATAAAAAGGAATGCAAAACTTGCACTTCAATTAAAAGAACTTACTTCCTGAAACAGTTCACTAAAGAAGAATATTATGATACCAAGCCTTAAATTAATCCTTCATTTTACAATTCTTTTAAAATACTCTATGTAAAAAGATTTTTAAAATTGCTGGTGATTTTCTTACAAATACAACTCATACACCAAACACTAACATTTGCAGCTAATCTGAAAGGCAAAAATATTTCTAAAATTAGACTAGTACCAAACCTTATGAACAAGCTCCACTTCCAGCACAGAAATGTGTGATTTTGGACTGTCTCTTAGCACCCAAAAATTGAAATATGCAGGTATCTCAATACTCAAAGATGTAATTATCACAAAACATTAACAAAAGCAAATGCTTCCAGGTGATTGATGAATACTCTTAAACATTTTTTGCTGCATGTAAGTCACAGATAACCACTATCCCCTTCAAGTCAAAGTAGCACACTCGAGCTCAAACAGGAAAACCACAAAGACACTGTTGAAGATTAACAGTATTTTACTTCCTATGCTTTCTCATGCAATCTCCAAACACACTGTACTTTAGACCACATTAAAAAAACCTTACAAAACATTGAGATAAAAGGGCTTTTTTTTTTTTTTTCATAGAACTTGAATCCTGAAGAGTACTCACCTAAAATGAGATGAAGCTTTGTATCTGTCTGGAAGGCATAATGTAAGGTGACCAAGAACGGTGATTGCCTAATGTGCTCCAGGACTTGTCGTTCTGTCCTCGTGTGCTCAGTTGTTTTGGCTTTTTGAACTATTGTTGCTTTCTTCAATACTTTCATGGCATACAGTTTCCCAGCATCATGGCCACTTACTTTCCTCACTAGGAATACTTTTCCATAGGCTTCAGAATTGGGGAGAAAAAAAACCCAAAAACAAAGAAAAGAAAGAAAAATAAAAGAGACAAAAACCACAAGTTACCTACTTGTACTACAGATCTGGCCAATGCCATTATTACTTTCAAATACTCATTCAGACAGACAGTAATCACTCAGGCTAAAAATCTACTAAAACACTTTTCCGTTTTCAGATTGACCTCTTCTGAGCAAAATTTCAATCAAATGAGCTTCATAAGTGAACACTGCAAGAGTAGGTAAAGCAATTGAACTTCTTCAGAATTAAAAAACAATATTAAAAGCTGATGATTTCATCCTGTGTAATAACCTAAAACATCCATACCTAGAATTAAGCAAGACTTCCAAGTAAGAGATGCTATTTTTTGTTCTTAAAATAGTCTGCTCATATTTGCACAACTTATATACTTTCATTCTGGTTTTATAACACTGAAGTTACAAAATCCCACAGAAAAGCCAATGAATTCTTCCCATCAGTATTTCATACATAGGAGCTTTCTGAGGCTCTCATACTGGACTTGAAAGAACTCCTGGGAATTCTACATAAATAAATTTTTTATCTTTACCAGGCAAACCTGTAGAAACAGTAAAGGTTAGAATTAGTGTGCAGTTCCTGGGCCATGATCTCACTGCAATTACAGAGATATGGTGGGGTATCTTGCATAACTGGAATACTGTCATGGATGGCTACAGACTTTTTAGCAAAAAGGCCAGACAGGCAAGGTGGTGGAGTTCTCTTTTTGTAAGCAAAATGTATCAAGCAACCAAAATGCATCCAGCTTTGCCTAGGAGTGGATGAAGGAGGATCCAAAATATGGGTAAGAATTCAGGGACAGGCTAAAATGGGTGTTACTGCTATGGGTGTTTACTACAGGCCAACTGATTAGTTAGAGGAAGCAGATGAGGCCTTCCACAGACAGCTGTCACCATCACAGGCCCACAGTTCTCATGAGCACCTCTACAGCTGCTGGAAAGGCATCCCAGCTTGGCACGCAGGAGCCCAGGAGGTTCCTGCAGAGCACTGGGAATTTTGACATAGGTGGTGGGAAGCCCACAGGGAGAGATGTGTTGCTGGACCTTGTATTAAGAAACAGAAATGGACTGGTTGGGGATGCAGTAGCTAGAGGCAGCCTTGACTGCAGTGTTCATGAGATGGTGGAGTTCAGGATTCTGCATGGAAGAAGCATGGCAGTAAGTAGGATTATAGCCCTGGACTTCAGGAAAAATAACTCTGGCACCAATCTTCAAAGGCCTGCTTGAAGGAATCTCATAGGTTAGGTCTCTAGAAGGTAGGGTGGGTCCAAGAGAGATGCTGAATATTCAAGTAGCATTTCCCTCTATGTTTAAGATCAGGACATCCCTGTGAATAAGACATTAAGCAAAGGGAGGGGCTGGAGACCTGAATGGATGGGCAGAGCACTTCTGGCAAATATCAGACAGAATAAGGAAGTTTACAGAATGTGGAAAAAGGGTCAGGCTACTTAGAAGAATACAGGAATACTGTCAGAGTATTGCAGCTATGTGTCAGGGAAAGCAAAGGTCCACTAGGAATTAAATCTAGCAAAGGATACCAAGGACAAGACAGTTTTCTTCAAGGATATCAGCAGCAAAAGGAAGACCTGGGCAAATGTGGGCCCACTGCCCAATGAAGTAGGTGCCCTGGTGACAAAAGGTACAGAGAAAGCAGAGTTACTGAACACCTTTGCTTTTTACTAACTGCTACGGCTGGCCCTCAGGAATCCCAGGCCCTGGGGGCTTTCCCTTGGTTGAAGATAGGGTTAGGCAAACTTGATACCCACAAATTCATGAGCCCAGGAGGGATTCACCCATGAGGGCGGAGGGATTTAGCAGATGTTAGTGTTAGACCACTCTACATCATCTTTGAAAGGTCATGGAGAGCAGGAAAGGCTCCTGAGGACTGAAGAAAAGCCAATACCACACCAGTCTTCAAAAAGGGCAAGAAAGAAGATCCAGGAAACCATGGCCAAGTAGCCTCACCTTCATCCCTGAAAAGGTGATGGAACATCTATGTATGCATGTGGAGGAAAAGAAGGTTATCAGGAATAGCAAACACGGATGCACCAAGGGGAAATCATGCTTGAACAATCTGACATCCTTCCATGAAGAAAGAGATATAAAGATGATTAGAGAACTGGAGTATTTCCTATATGAAATAAGAAGCTTATTTCTTCTCTTTAGCCTGGAGAAGACAGAGGGGAATCTCATCAATGTGTACAAATATCTTATGGACAGGTGTCAAGAGGATGGGGCCACACTCCTTTCAGTAGTGCTCAGCAATGGGGTAAGAGGCAACCCACACAAACTGGAAACACGAAGTTCTGTAAGAATATGAGGACAAACTTCTTTGAGGGTGTCAGAACACTGGGATGGGCTACCTGGAAAGGCTGTGGATTCTCCAACTCTGGAGCCATTCAAAACCCTCCTGCACATAATTCCATGCATGGGTTAACCTGCTTTAGCAAAGGGGCTGGACCAGGTGGCCTCCAGTGGTCCCTTTCAACCCCAATCATCCTGTGATTCTGCAGTAGACACAACAGGACATTCTGTGAAAGAATGAGTGTTACTTTTGTAGATGGCAATAGTCATTGCTCAAAGAATCAGGAGAAAGGAACTATGAAATCATTGACTTATTTTGAACAAGGTACTTAACAGGTTCTCTTACAAAAAAGGTCTTTAAAACACTAAAAGGTTATGAGTGCAAAGGAGGGAATCCTCTCAAAAATTGAGAGCTATTAGAAGACAAAAAGCTACAAGTTAAAATTCAGCTTTTTCAGAGAAAGCAAGTCACCACTAGAATTCATCCTGCCTGATTCAGTCATATATAAACAAGTGAGGAAAAGAATTTGCTTGTTTTAGTAAATTATCCAATGCAACAGAAATTGAAGCTGACTGCTAAAAACTCTACCACAGTATCAAAATGCCAAGTAGATGAAAAAATAAAATGGCAGAGAAAATTTCAAATAGTAAACACACAATCCATGTGAAATATCATAACAGCACATAGTGTTAGAACTGAGGAGAGAAAAACAGCTGAAGTTACTAAAGACGACCCCAAAGAGAATGTTATAAACTTCAAGGAAAGTACTGAAGAAATTACACAAGCGTACCCACACCTTCAACACAAAGCCAGAAATTCCTTATGCTGTGGTAGAAATCTTTGTGTGCTTCTATCTTGAATGAAGCACACTGTTTTGGTACCTTCTCTCTTCTGTCCCAAACTACCTTGCTCCCATCAGAAAAAAAAAAATTATAAAACATTAGGGAAGTATAAAACAACTCTTCTGAACAGGAATGGCACTAAACATACTGCCATGTTTTATTTAGCCTGAGAAAGTAGAGTACTTGAGAGGGAATTGTGAGAAGATTCTTACAGAGAATTAGAAAAAAAAAATCAAAAACTTGGTAAAGAATAAATTTTCATTATTTTTAGAAACAAAATAACTAAGGCAACAAATTAAATCATTAGGTATCAGCATTAAAAACTATGCAAAGCACACAAACAAGTATGCAGTTAAAGCTGTGGAGCTACTGTTACATGATACTGCAGCTGTCAAAAATGCAGATGAATTTTAAGATTACATAACTCCCTCAGGGAGAGGAAAGCACAGCAAGTGTTGCCAAACTCTAAAGAGAATCTCTGGCTCAGGCAGACCCCAACGTGTAGGTTGCTACCAGCTCACTAAGGAAACCATCACTGTAAGCTTCTCCTTAAGCCATCATGAGACAGAAAAACTAACCAGCTCATTGTTTTATCCAACCCTTGTAATTACCTTCACACTACTTTGTCAAAGACAATGCTCAAATATCTCAAACCTGAAAATACACTGGACAAGTGTATACAGTCCTGACATGAGACACTCAAATTTAGGTGGCCCTTAAAAAGCTATAGCATACAGAGCTCCCAGTAAGCATCACGTGTAACTCCAGATTTCTTTCTGGATTTTTCTCCAGATGGGTAATTTAGAGTTTTTAACTACCAAATGACATGTGAGCTTTTTTCCTAGATCTGAGTTCTACTTCAGTGAGTATACAGAACTGATTCTGCTCATATACTGAACAATTCTTTTTAAGGATTTCTTCATCTGACTCATTGTACCCTAAGGAATCATGCTTCCCTTCTTTACAGAACTAATTATCTGCAAAAAGAGCTTTCATAAAATAAGTTTTCATAACACATCTCTCAAGAATGGCAAATAGAGTCAGAATAGGTGACACCTTTCTATTTTGTGAGATATGCAGGACAGTCTCTTTCAAGATTTTGTATTGCATTCTCCAACTTTGCAGTCACAAGATCTCAAGCATACGTAAGCCACACTGAATGGTCATCAGCTGCTCATCACCAGGGAACAGGAATTTTATCACAAATGTTGGAGAACATTAAGTTAAACTAAAATGAACAAAAGGCTCATGACTCTAACACTCAGTTACCTGTATCTTTAATCACATTTTATAAAAACATATAATAACACATCTTAGGTGAGAGAATGCAGTACCTGCTACAGCTTTTCATGCAGTATCAGAGAACATAATCTAGTTAGTGTAGTAACTGTAAGAATCTCTAGAAACTATACTTTTATTGCCATAAAGAACTTTGCCATGGTACAAATTGTTTCTTCAGGAATCTGACAAGGACTGACAGAATGATGACGATTCTCAGCATTTTTTATGAGAATAAATCTTAAGTAGCACTATTTTAATCAAATGACTCATAATATATCCAACACCAGAATCTCCGATAGCACCACAAGAAATCTACTTAAAAGACAGCACTGCAAAAGCTATTTATTTGAGTGGCAGCAAGAAGAGAGCACATAAGCTAATTGCAGTACTCTCACCTGAAAATTGTACTTCAGTAAAGCTTTTTTCATTTCTCAAAGAGCAACATTTTAAGGTTAATTCTCATAATGTTCATTCTCACACACATCTGATCTACTGCCCAGGCAGAAGTATTCAGCCAGCAATATATGCC